GGTTCCAGAGCCCTCCTGCATGGCCCAGCCCAGCCATGGATTCCCCAGGTCAGGCACACACACAGATCCTCTCCCAGTGGAAGTCCTGTGGACAAGGGACTGTTTCCCTGTCAGATGGATCTTCAGCAGGTTTGGGACATCCTTACCCAGAGCCAGCCAGAGGGAAGGATTTCTGTGGATTTCTATGAACACAGAAAATCCTGAATAACCCGGAAAAACCACAGAAAATGCTGGTCTCCAGAACCAGCCTTTCATCCAGATTTCAGAAATCCGAGTTCTCCCCATGTCCAGCTTGAGCAGTGAATTTGTGCCTCATCCAACTGCAGCTACTCCTTCCATCACCCTCCAAGGAGGTGCTGGGCTTATTTTTAGAAGGAACCTAAAAAACCCTCCCCAAGCCAGCAAACAGGATGGGGTTACAGCCAGCGAGGCCCGAATCCTGCTGACCCTGCCCAGACGCCTCCCAGCTGTTCCCCAGGAGCCTTTTTTGGGTGGTTTTCCCCAAAGGCACACGTGGTTCTTTGTTCAGAGCTCCGTGGTGATTAAAATGACCGCTGAGTCCCGGAAAGTTAAACCAAGCCCTGGAGGCAGCACGGTGCACAGGAAACAGCTGGGGAGAGGATGCTGGAAGGATTTCCATAAAAGCCAATGATTCATGGAAATGTTCAGCCAGCCCCGGGCTCCTCAGCAGCTTCTCGGGACAGACACGATTCCCGAGGCTGCCCCTCCCTGCCGTCATTCCCGAATTCCCGGTGCCCGCCCCAGCCCCGGCCGTGCAGCAGAGCAGAGGGAATTCTCAGAATCCAGCTACATCCCCGATTTCTGCTGCACTGAAATGCTGCTCAGCTGCCTGGATGGGGAAAGGCTGCCAGGAGAGGGCAATGCCAGCGTTACAGGGGCACAGGACCCAGGGAATGGCTCCCACTGCCGGAGGGCAGGGAGGGATGGGAGATTGGGAATTGGGAATTGTTCCCTGGCAGGGTGGGCAGCGCTGGCACAGGTGCCCAGAGCAGCTGTGGCTGCCCCTGGATCCCTGGCAGTGCCCAAGGCCAGGCTGGACAGGGCTGGAGCACCTGGGACAGTGGAAGTGTCCCTGCCATGGCTGGGGTGGCGCTGGGTGGGATTTAAGGTCCTTCCAACTCAATGCAGGCAGTGACAACCACGATGGTGAAGGACATTTGGGAAGGACAGGGTGTGACCCTCCAGCAGGAAGAAGAACCTGCTGCATTCTGTGGCTCTCCAGGCTCCTTTCCTCTGTGCCCACCAGATTTCTCCCAGGACTCTTTCCCCGAGCTCCAAGCACGTCCTGCCAGCTGGGCATTGCTCCCTGCAGCGGTGCCAGGCCAAACCACTTTCCACATCCCATAAATCAGGAGATGGAAAATCCCCTTTGGGACACTTGGTTCAGCTGCTCCTGCAGCGCAGGGCTGCTCCTGCCAGGACATTTTCCATGGATTTTTTGGAATGACTCAAGCACAGGGGCTGCACCACTGCCCGGGGATCCTCCCTGGCTGCACAGCTCCAGGGGAGGGCATTTTCCTCCTTCTCACACAGACTTTCCTTTCCAGATGTCAGCTCCTTCCTCCCATCTGCACCCCTGGGTTATTCCCCCCTTTCCCTGACATTTCCCACCCTGGGTTCATTCCGTGCCTGGCACCACATCCCACCACAGGGAGCAGAGGGGAGGGAGGGCCCTGGAAAAGTGGCCTCAGAGACACCCTGGGCCACCCCCTCAGTGGAAGGGTCTCCATCCTCCCGAGAGGTCTGGTGGCACCCGTGCCCATCCCTTGGCTCTCTGGGCAGCAGCAGAGTCCCACAGGGCACCCAGCCCTGTCCCCACTCGGGGTGGAGCAGGCTGGGATCACTCCAGAGCCTGGAGCACCAAGAACAATCCCTGGGAGCTGGCCCTGGCCTGGGATGCTCCACACAAATCACATTCCTGGTGTGAAAATCCCCCCAAGGTTCATTCCCTTTTGATCATCCCACCCCAGTGAATTCTGTGCTGTGCTGTGAGGATGAAACCCTGGGTCAGTGTTTCACAGCATCACGGCTGTTTGGGGTTTGTTCTTCCTTCAGCAGGGCACTCTCAACCACCTGTATCCACCAAGGACAAAATTCAACATCGAATTTTCATGATGGAAATAAGGGCCTGTCGTAACTAACTAAAAATGCAGCTGTGGGGGGTTGTCTGCAAAAGGAAATTCCCCCAATTTCATTATCCTACTCTTATTTTGTTATTGAAAATGCACAGTACAAAGAAAGACAGTCATGCTTTTATTCTGATTAATACATTTTAATGATCTGTGGCATCAGTTTCTATTTCCATGCACTTTTAACACTGCTTAGGAACTAAGATGCTTTTTTTTCCTGCAGTCCAATTTTTTCTTTTGTAGAAAAACTCCATCAGCAAGGCACAGTCGGGATCTCAGATCCTACACACACCTCAGAGCAAGGTTAATGATCATCCCAGCTTTGGTTTGTGATATCCCAGTGGGAATGAAGTGATATCCATGGCAAGCTGTGCATGGCCACATTTCTGCTGCAGGAGCAGCAGGACCAGACAGGGGCTGGACTCTCCATCGTACCGTCTGTGGAGAACATTTCATTTTGGGCAGCTTCAGGTGGGAAAAGGATGAGCCCCACTGAGGCACTGAGATTCCAGGGCTGCTCTTGCGCTGTCCCTCTGTGCCCTGGGAGCAGGGACAATTCCCACCCTGCTGGCAGGGTCAGCCAGGAGGGGTTTGGCCACACCAGGGCCGTGTCTGGGGCTCACACTGAGCAGCCCCAGCCCCATTTCCCTCCCTGGCACAGGGGATCCCTTCTGGGAAGGGTCAGGGCTGTAGGAGCCCCCTCCAGAGCGGGCAGCACCCCCAGCTCTGCCAGGCAAAGTGAACCTTTGCAGCAGGGAAGGGCAGGACAGCCCCGTGCCACGGGATGATTTCTCCCAGGGAAGGGCTGGAGTGCTGCCCACAGCCAGGTTTGTCCCTGGAGTTTGTTTGGCTTTGCCTCGTGCCACGAGTCCTGCAGGGCAGGGACCCTGACACCCTCTCACAAGAATTTCCTGCAGGAAATTTGATTTCCTAAAATCTCAGGGCTGTAACGAGGTGTCCACGTCCTCTGTGGCACTTTGTGCTCTGCCTGTCATCCCACCATGGAAAACACTTGGTAAACTTGCCTTGACATGGTGAGATTCATTAAATTGTTTTCAAAGCCAGTAAAAAGGGGTCCCTGACATTTCCATCCTTTGTTTCTTGCTTAGCAGCAGGAGCTCCGGGTTCTGGGAGGAAGGGGGAGGAGGGAAATATTTGTTCTGGGCTTGGTTTGGCTCCAGGACCTGGCCACTCCGTCGTGCCAGAGCCGTGATCCCGCTCCTGCTCCCGGTATTTTCTGTGCTGCTCCTCCCTGGCCACAGCCCCCCTTTAGTGCAGCTGCTGCTCCAGGACACACAGGGGACAAGAGGCCAGGTTTGAGATGATGGAATGGTGGAATCCAGGCTGGTTTGGGTTGGAAGGGACCTCAGAGCTCCTCCAGTTCCTGTCCCAGGCTGCTCCCAGCTCCATCCCTCCTGGATGGGCCATTATTCCCTACCCAGGGAATGGGATGAACTTCAAGGTCCCTTCCAACCCAAAACTTCTGGCATCCAGGGGTTTTCTGATTTCAATCCACTCATTGAAGATGTGCTGCTCTTTGTGTTCCTCTTGGAGAGACTCTTTTTACTTTTCTCATCTTGAAATGCGCCCGGCACTTAATTACACCACGAATAAATTAATGGACAGGTAAAAATTATTGCACCAAATATAACCCAAAAAAATTAACTGGATTTTAAATTGCAGGCATGGATGAGTTCGGGAGGTGTGGAATGGTTTCCCAGGCGGAGCTCAGAGCTGGCTCGGCCGGTGCCGCATCCCGGCCGCCCTTCCCTTGGGAGGATCCAGGGATGCGCGGGCGGTGCCCGGGGCTCCGCGGAGGCGGCGATCCCCGGCGGGCGGCGGGCCCGGGAGGGTCCCGGGGGCCGGGAGGGTCCCGCTGAGCCGCCGCAGCTCCAGCACCTGATCCCGGGCCCGGCCCAGCGCCGCCGTCAGCTCGAAGCGCTCCTCGCACTCCCGGCGCACCGTGTCCTGCAGCTGGGAATTCTGCAACGAGAAACACCGGGAATGGTCTGCAGCTGGGAATTCTGCAA